TACTATAAAAAAACGAACCGACAGGAAGTAGGTCTCTTTTCGCGAAGCTGGGACAGCAGGAGGAAGGGTGAGATTTTAGCTCTGAGCTCTGACTTCTCGGCTCTCTCTTTTACATTGTTTCTGTGTTTCTTATTTAATAAGACGGTTGGTTACATCTACAGCAGTCAGTGCTCTTAACCTCTGAGCCATCTCTCCAGCTCCATATTTTCTATATATTAACTAAATATTTGTCTGAAGGAGGAACTGGGTGCTGGTCCCCATTCAGCAAAAACAGAGCTGTGCAGTGTGCCCAAGCCACGTGCTTTCTAAACCTAGTGACCGACCACTGTTACTGAAGCAGACCCCAGTTAGAGTTCAGTCCTCAGCCAAGGGTTTGTCACCCCATCCAGAGCCTTCTGGGAGGAATATTGTTGTGTGAAACATTTCCACAGGCTCTCAGGCAGCTTGGCCTTATACCTTGGCTTGTGTCTGCCTGAACTAACTCATAGAAGATATTTTGTGTCATGTATACTCAGGTACAGTACACACATGTCCTCTCACATGTTTTGCTCTGTGTGATAATATCTATTGTCTAATATGCATTGGCCATACATGTTTTCAAGACAGGATTGTACACAAATAGAAAACACCTGATTAGTTCATTTATACATCTATTTTTTTATTCTTTACATTTATATAGTGCATGTGTGCGTGCGTGTGTGTGTGTGTGTGTGTGTGTGTGTGTGTGTGTGTGTGTGTACATATAGATGGCAAAGAACAATTTTCAGGAGTCTTGTTCTTCCGATATGTGAGTCCCAAGATTTGAACTCAAGTCCTCGGACTTGGTGGCAAGCATCCTTTCCCACTGAGCCTTACCCATCTCACTGGCCTTTCTATCTGTTTTAATTGAGTGACACTCCTATTAATTTTAATTGAATGAGCAGTCTCCAAGTTGAGCTTCCACACTAGTGAAGACTGAATCCCACTGGTTTTCAGATCTCTGTGAAAAAAAGCCTTGCCTTTTTCCTTTAGGCCTGGATTAATCCCTCCATTTCTTGGCAGCCTAACCCAGCATAGAGAAAAATGAATCTGAATGTCAGCAGAAGAGGAAACTATCTATACACACTATGACACATTCTCATATATGCGGATGTTCACACACACACACACACACATACCACTAAAAAACAGTAATCGGCAACTTGGGATGTGTGATCACAAAAGATTGCTAATTAATCCAGCTGTGAGTTCACCTGTCAGCTCAAATGTAGCTCTTCAGAAGAACAGACGATGTGTCCCTTGCCAAGAAACATGCCACATAAACAACTTCTTAGTGACTTTAACCTTCCTCACAAATATTTCTGTCACAGGGTACAGAGGAAGTGACAGGATGTCCAAGCAAAATATGCAACAATAGCAAGAAAGACATTTGAGAAACTGCCCCCAGAGTCCTGAGAGCCACAGCACTTGTAGGGCCGTTGTCCTCCTTCTGGTCCTCCGTGCCTCTGACCCTTTGTTTTCATTTCCTTATTTTTCTGTCCTTCTTTGGCTGTCTCCACAGCATCCTCTCAGATAGTCATTGGGCAAAAGGGAACAGGAACCTGTGTTGCTTTTATAAGAATAACATTATCTGGTACAAAGCAAGCAGTCACTTTGTAAGAGGAGACAAGACCAGGGAAGGTCTCAGTCACAGTCCAAGCCACACTGGTCCTTCAGTATAATCCTGCTCTCAGGGTGGCTGTAATGAGGTCAAACTCGTAAACACATGGGGAGGTGCTCAACCAGTAACTCACAGCCAATGTCCTCTGAGTCTGAATTATAAATTCAGTAGGGCACTTCTTGCACTTTTTCTTCAAAAGTTAAGGTTCAAATAGTTTGGATGCCAGTGTAAGTTTCTTCTTGGACTGGGGTCACCCTTTATATCCTCCTTAAGTGACATGTTCCTGGAGTGTCAGAACCCTGTTTTATAGCTTCTGTTATGTGATGGGCAGAGAGTTGAGCTCTTTGTCGGGCATGTGATAGATGCTTCAGATATACAGTGCATGCTGAGTTAGTTTTTCAAATCAAAGAAGTCTATGTATCTAAAAACAGTTGCAGAAGTGCCCCGAAGTTTAAGATTTCCATAGGACAATGACACTGGTCTTTGAGTAGATATCCTGTGTCCCACCCAGCCATCCTACTCTGAGACAACTACTGTGAATTAGTACAGCCATGGCTTATGCTATTTCCATTTCACTTTCCAGCATGTACAGTAGCTCTGGATTTATTAAGCATACAGATTCCTTGATGCCTTTTTGATTTGGTGGGAAATTAACACCCTTAAACTGCCATTGCTCAAACATCCTGTCTCAATAAAGTCATATCTCAATTTCTGGTTGAAGAAGTAGCTAATGATTAAACCCCAATAATGATGTAAGTATCGTTTGCCGGTTGAACTGAACAGTAGGCAGGAATTGTATTTTTCTTTAATGGTGGCTCATTTGACTTTTTCTTTTCTGATCTGAAAAGGTTTTCTGGGACTGATCAATCCACCACACCTATCAAATATTCACCTAAGGTATCTTTCAAAAGGACTTCCTTTCCCTTCCTGTGGGTCTCTGCATCCTTCCTCATAGCTGTCCTTACAGGACTTCCTTCCCTTGGCTGCTGTATCCTAGCAGCTGCTCCCCAGGCCTTGCCATTTTTCCTCTTTTTCACCAGTCCTCTGAAGCTTTCTAGGACAGAATGTGTGGGAGTTCCATTTTCTGGGATCTCGTATGTGTAAAGTTTGGCTGTTTCTCTATATGTGATAACTGAGTGTGAACGAGTTGAAGGATGATAGGAAAAAAGCAGATGCAACAGCCTGGAGGCAAGAGAGTGGGCGATTTTAGATCCGAGAAGAATCGCAGCCTTCTATCAACCAAACAATAAGAAATTGGACCACAGCATTATTTTCTCGAGAAGACAAGTTGAAATGAAAGCAAAAGAAATCCTTTGAGGAGAACATTAACTCAGCAATTTATGAAAGACACAGGGTATCTTAGAAGAGTCTTCCCTGTGTCTTTCTGGGTTAGAGACGTTGCCATTAACGACATTCCTATTCTAAACCAAAGTTGTAACAGCAGAAAGGTGCTGTGAAGAAAAAGGGGGAGCCAGAAAGATTCACCTGATGCCTTCCTGCACTCTCCACGTGAGACCGTTGTGGCTATTACATCATGGGGTAACATCGGACTTACCAACGAGAGCCCCATGCCTACTGAAGGAGAAGTTCATTCGGATGGTCTGAGAGTAGGAAGGAGGGGAGTTGTGAGGAGGGTCCTAGTTACTGTGAGATTACCAGTGAATGGGCGCCCATCTCTTCCCACTCTCTTCCAAAGCATAGCTGACATTAATGCCTGTCTGTCATTGTCTCCAGTCTCCCAGAACTCTCTCTGGCTAACGATGTACACTCAGTACTTGTTTTGACTAAAACGGAAGTTAAATCTTCCCCTGGCGTTGTACATGCATGCTATCTGCCCACAATTCCTACCACCTCACTAGTTTCTAAGATGCTAGAGGTTCCTAAATGATATCCTTATGTCAGTATACCTAAGTAAAAACCAAAGGCAAACATGTAAAACAGTAAATGGAACAAGAAGGAAGTTATTAAAATAGAGGAGAAAGAGAGTGCATAAATGTAGGATCTGCTTAATTGCTTGATTTTCTTTTTCCTAATATCGAAGGCAGAGGCAAAGGACTCTTGTGCTTTTGTTTCTTTGTTTTAAGAAAATGTGATGAAGAATAAGGTGAGGTGGAGAGGCAGGGAGACTACAAATCAGCCCAGACAACTGGCGGCCACTGGAGGAGGGAGAGTTGGTGTTCGTCAGCGCTGCGGCCCCTCGTAGGTTGCGCATGCTCAATGGACGGCCCCATAACCATGCTGAATATGGCAGCTCTAACTGTGCTCAGTGAGTTATAAAGGAAGAAATAAGAGAAGAGAGCATGAAACTGGGAGAGAACATGGTGGGGTCTGGGAGAAGTTGAGCGGTATTGTATCAAAATACATAATATACATGTCCGACAGTCCCCAAAATTAGACAAAGTTAAAATTTAAAAACTCAGCCAAGCTCTCAGGAGGCTTCTCTGTGAGACCCAGTATTGAACTAAATACTGGCATCCTATTAAAAGGGGAATTTCGCAATATTCTTGTTATATAACCATTCACTAGCAGCTTCAAGTCTTGGTTGGCTTTTGAAAAAATGTTTCTATGATAAGAATGATATCCGACTATTATTTTCAGGAGATAATAAAGAGCTGACTAATCCCATATTTAGTGAGGACACCAAACACTTCCTCATCCAGGAAGGCAAGACACGGAGTGAATTTATCCAGTGAGCTGCCAGTGTGCCAAAAAGAATAATGATCATAAAACTAGCTTCAAAATAACTTACTTCCAGTTTTGTTTGTTTGTTTTTGTTTTGTTTCTCGAGACAGGGTTTCTCTGTGTAGCTTTGCTCCTTTCCTGGAACTCACTTTGGAGACCAGGCTGGCCTCGAACTCACAGAGATCCGCCTGGCTCTGCCTCCCGAATGCTGGGATTAAAGGCCTGCGCCACCACCGCCTGGCTACTTCCAAATTTTAAATGCCAAGACCAGTAATATTAAGTCTTCGAAACCCAAGACCACTTAAAATATTTTACCTTGGGTATGCTCCATAAATATGCATAAACTCCACATGCATAATTTCTGGTGTGTAAATATCACCTATGAGCAGGCTTTGTAATGAGTAATTTACTTTCTCTTCCATTGGGTAAAAATGGAAATTCTGCCAGAATATTAGGTGATCACTTTCTCTAGTATTTTAAAATTTCATCCGATTATTAAAATAAAGTAGATTGGTTTACCTAGTAATCACAAGTAGACACTAACAGTAATAAAACCTCATTAATTTATTGACAAATTTATTATAATTTTTCTTGATTCACTGTATAACTGAAAGTATGTAAATTTTATGCCTTTATTTTTATAGTTCTTAGTTGGAGAATGTATTTAGACCACTTTCTGATTGTTCTCTCATAATATATTCTGAAAAGAATAGATAAGATGTGAACATTTGCAGGATTTTAACCTAAGCCACCAAATTGCTATCCAGAAATTTTTGCAGCAATTTACATAACAGCCCCTGATAAGGACACTTCTTGTATTTCACACTAATTAGCAGAGGGTTTTAAAGGAACTATCATTTGCAAATCTGGAAAACAAAAAGGTGGATTTTTTTCAGTTGCATTCATTTGAGTTCTAGCAAGATTATTTATATTGCTCTCTAATTATATTTTCCCATGTGAACTGGAGTTTCATGATCTTTGCCTTCACGGTTCAAGATCCTACTGTTTTCTTATCATTTTTACAAGTTTTAATATGTTCAGATTATAAAGCTGTCTATCACTTTTCTTATAAATACTGTTCTTTCTTGATCTTCGGTTGCCACGGATGGGAAGATAACATTACTTTAATAACATCTTTTAAGAAAAATAAAAGAAAGTACTATTTTCATAAAATATTGATTAGAAGACATCTTGATTTTAGAGATGTTAAAATGTAGGTGAATGGTGAAACATTAAAATGTAGAGAATGTCAAAATGAAGAGTTGGCTCTGAGTAAGTACAGTGTGATGACTCTATTGCAGATTTCCATAATGATCATATCATGTGATGAGTATTGCTGCTAGAGAAATATGACGCGGCATCTAAAGACAAATCCAGTCTGGTAAAAATCCATGGATTTTTAAGAAAGCTTATTGAAATTATGGATCAGTGGCCATTGCCTGAATTTGGATCATGAGTTACTCCACATCATTTTTTTTAAGTGTCTTGATGGAGACAGATGGATGCGAACTCTGGAGTGAGTGATCTTGTCATCAATTGACATAAATATGTAATTTTTCTAGGTACCATCAGAAACCTTATGCATATCTATCCACTTATATCCACATTAACATATCCATATGTATGCTTCTTTTATTGAGCTATCTGCTCTAAAGGGATGTAGGTGGGGTCGTCACTGAGGGCTTAGATCTATAAAAGCTGTCTTCACGGGGCTAGGGAAATGGTTCAGGGAGTAAAGTGCTTGCCACGCAAGCATGAGGGCTTGAGGTCAAATCCCCAGAACCTACATTTTAAAGCAACATGGTAGCTGGTGTCTATAACCCCAGCACTCTTACAGCTCATGGGAGGAAGAGACCGGAGAATTCATTGGCCAGTTAATCTGCATGCACAGTGGGTTCATGAGAAGAGACTCTGCTTCAAACCAAAGCTGAAGGTGAGGACTGACACCCATGGTTGTCTTCTCACCTCTGCAGCACATTGTGACACATGCACACTGTGCACATACATACCACCACTCACACACACACACACATACACACACACACACATGCACACATACACACACATATACACACACACACGCACACACACACACACACACACACACACACACACGGCGTTTTTTTTTTTTCAACGTTGCCTTTATGGGTCTTTTCCAGAACTCTTTTCATGTCTATGATCCATCAAGAATAATAAAATACCACATAAAATATGGTAGTTTTGAAATATGAGGATTATTCATACATACAGACACATATACATATGCAGTCACATATTCTAATTTGGGTTTCTCTTATTGAAAAATAATATCTGTTTCATCAAAAGCATGAATGTGGCCGGGTGGTAGTGGCACACGCCTTTAATCCCAGCACTCAGGAGGCAGAGGCAGGCAGATCTCTGTGAGTTCGAGGCTAGCCTGGTCTACCAAGTGAGTTCCAGGAAAGGCGCAAAGCTACACAAAGAAACCCTGTCTCGAAAAAACAAAACAAAACAAAACAAAACAAAAAGCATGAATGTGATATTTACATTATTCTGGCTTATTATTCACTAATCCAGAGACCTTTTGTAATCCCCACAATAATAGTTATATCTATCTTTAACTGTGGGTATTAGTGTGCCAGTCACTTTGGAGGAATTTTGTGAAGGAAGAATAATTTAGGAAAACCAAAAATTTGATTTCAACTATTTACAACACCTTTTAAAGTATTTCTTTTATTCATTGAGATTAATATAGGTGCATCATCCCCCGCTTCCCTTTTCTCCATTTATACCCTCCCATGTTTTCCTCCTTGTTCTCTTTCAAATTCATGGCCTCTTTTTCCATTAATTTTCACTACATGAATATAGGTCTACATATACATTCCTAAACATATAAATACAACATAGTCCTTATAATGTTACTTCTATGGATGTTTTCGGGGCGGATCATTTAGTATTGGATAGCCAACTGGTGTGCTCTTCCCTGGAGAAGTCTATTTCTCTCACTTTCAGCATTTCTTGGTTGCCTGGAGTTCTTTCTGTAGGGTTGAGGCCTCATGGGCTTTTCCCAGTCCATTTTAACATGTCTATTGGCGTTTTCTTTGTTCGGCTCATGATTGGATAGACATGTTCGTGGACTTTAACGACATGGCTTCTGGCATTATCAGGAGACAGTCTCACACAAACCCCCTCCTCCTCGACTCTTACCAGCCTTCTGTCCCCTCTTCAGCAGTATTCTCTGAGTCTCCGGTGCAGGAGTTACTTTGTGGTCATGCACAGCATCTTTTGAACACTGTCTATAGCCAGGCACTTCTGAGAAGTCTTGAGAAGAAACAGGAAAGATGATGCAATCTAGTTGTATTGCTGCTTCTGTGATAAAATAGCCCAAGAAAAAGACAGCTTAAGAAAGGGTTTCTTTAGCTCAAAATTCCAGGTCACCATATTAACAGTAACAGAAGTCCATTACTGTGGGCAAATCATGGTGACAGGAGCTTGAGATAACTGGTAACATCACAACATCCAGTCAAGAGCAGAGAGAAATTGATGTGTACTCGCTTGTGTTCAACTCTGTTTCTCTACCTATACACAATTCAGAAGCCCTGTCCTAGGGAGTGGTGCCACCACCCACAGTGGACTAGAACATCTCATAGACAATCCATCATTGAGACTCTCTTCCCGTGTGATGCTAGATTGTATCAAGTTGATAATTAAAGTTAATTGTCTCCCAAGATCTCTGATCTTGTGGTACTTACAACATGGTTTGGGGTGAGGAAGAGAGGGTTAGAAAAGTTAATCAAAATATCAGAATATAAGAATTTACCATGAGTTAAACAAGACATGGGACAGTAGCTGGTGAGGGTGTTACTTAAATTTGTGCTGAAGGACAATCTGAGGACCTAATGAGCACACATTAGGAAGTGTGTACTGACAGGGTACTCAGGACCATCCTCTCCTGAGTCCCAGCTTGTCTTTGTCGGCCACTTAAAACAATGCTCTTTCTGCCTTTAACCCAACCCTGTTAATTCGTTAATCCTGATTTTATTTTAAAAGTTGATTCTCTGTTCACAAAAGCCTTGGGCTAGACATGAGAAACCACCCCTTAAGTTGTTCGTCATGGTTATCAAAGAGACAATCAAAATAATTTAGGCTATTTCTTTGTCTTTCATTGTTTCCCAGAAATTGGAGGTTAAGACCCTACTGCTGAAAATAACAATGAACCTTAAACCCAGGGCCTGGAAGCCTCCTCTCTGAAGACTAGCTTCCATATATTTGAAGGTTCTGTACAAACTGCCAAGGGAGAAAAGCAATCACTAGCCCTACTCAGCTAAAAAGCCTACAAACCAACAATGACCAGTATGGCAATGTATGCCCAAAGTTGCCACAATGGCACTTATATTGTGAGGACAACCAACGTCTGTCTAATTAAACTCAAGGTCCTTTCAATAAGAAGGAATTTGTGCCTGGTACTGTAAACCTAGCCAAGTATTCATGGCTGGTGAGGTCACGGAACCTAGAAGGGAACTTAGTACTGCCACTTCCTAGACCAGCATAATCCTAACTGCGTTCTAAAAACTTACCCTTATAGCCACAAGTAAATGTGGCTTGCACCCCTTATCAAAGAAGCTTTTTATTTTTGCAGCAGTCAGAGACCATTACAGAAATCCACAATTGGTTAAAAGGCCGA